CTGCTGCTGCTGCTTCTTCGCCATTGCAAAGCCATGGAGTCGCCGAAAGAAACTAAGGAAGGAAGGAAGGCAGGAAGGAAGGAAGGAAGGAAGCATGTATGCTAAGAGTTTCAGTAAATAAATAAATAAAACACACACTTACATATTTATGCATGTATTGTATAATAAATCGATGACTGCTTACTATATGTTATTCGTTGCAGAATACAGTGAACTACTAAAAGCAAAGTTGGCTAAAAAGTTCGACGACTATATACATACATATTTATGCACTACATATAAACGTACATATCTGTATTTATATTTAGTGACAATTCATAGATGAGAACTTCGCCACAATCAGCGCTATGTCTGTAGGCAGTTAGTTCTACCCTGGGGGCGAATAATTTCCACTGCCTCTTAGTTAGTAGGTCTCAATATGAAATGAAATATTGATTGCTGCAAATGCTGATTTATTGCTGTTTGATTACTTTTATCTCGATTTAAATAAATCAAATTAAGTAAAACTTAGAACAAGCTTATCACATCTACTGAATATAGACACATATGAAGGACAACAACTCTCATTTTGCTGACGTGTTTGCAAGCATGATAAGCATGTGAATATGTATGTATATACATATGTATGCATATATATTGTAGATGTGTCGTGCGAATATATGTTCTATATTTCAGATTCAGCAAACACATATTTCATTAGATATTTTCAAACATTTGCTTTAGCGTTGAGCATTCAATCAGGAGTGCAATGTCGACAGGATTTTGACATGTTTGTAAATGTACTTACAACAGTGTCTCACATGCGAAAAAAAGCTCGAAAAAATTTAGTACGAGGACGAAAGTGGAGTAAAATTTATTAAATCAACATTTAATCATTATTTTATCACTTTTTTCGCTCGAAAGCATTGATTATTATTGAGTTTATTTTTCGATCAATCGATTATTATAATTTTAAATTTTCGCTCAGAGATAAAAGTCATTATTGAGTTTTATTTTCTTCACTTAAAAATAATGATTATTTCTAAAACTTTAGCCTAGGCCATACAGACGCCAACTCACACATATGTATTCACATATTCGCACGAGAAAAATGTTCAATTTAGAATCGAATTACATTTTGAAAATAGTCATTGATTCATCCACTGTATTGCAAATTAAAATATATTTACTAAAGGAAAATATCGACTCATTCAGGTAACAGCAACTTTGCTTGAAGTGAGAGTACAGTGAAGTAGGCGATGAGAGGAAAATTGAACGCAAGCATATTCATTTTAAATTTTATTCCGAACTCATGGTGTGGCCGAAAATACATGCATATGTATGTATGTACATATATATTTTTTTTTTAAATTTAAGTGCGTACACAGAGAAAAATATGACGCATAAAAATAAGAAGATTGTCTTTATGAAATGTTTCTGGGCTAAGGTGTAAAACAGAAGAAAACAAACGAGGAAAATTATATAGAGCTTTCTTCTTAATTTTATGTATGAATTCCTCTTGATTTTATTTGTAATAAAATAGACAATGAATTGAATACGAATGGGAGTACGACTGCCGACTTTTTTATTTAATTTAATATACAGTACCAGGTTGACCGGGCTTTGCCCGGAGTGCATATACTTTTTAAAGATTTGGATAGCTATTAAATTAATATTTATTATTATTAAATATTTAAATATTTTGGAAGCAAAAAAAAAATTAGATTTTGATATCTATTAAGTAAATTTCTTACTCTAAAATTTAGGTGGCAACCCTATTCCGAAATATGCTGCAATGAATGGCACATATCTCGAGCGTAAATGTACTGTGTATACATAAAAAAAATGCTGATTGAAATAAACAAAATAAAAATTTGTATTACATAGAAGCGTGGCAACCCTGACGGCGCATATTTTCTGACCATAATTCTCAACAATACCTTTCATTTGATATCCATAAATTGTGTAGAATCGGAGGTCAGAGCATCCAAACTCCGACTTTACTTTTTCACATGAATTTTTGGACCACCCTAATTTACATAGTACATGTCCAACATTCTACTGCAGGGCAATTGCAATTCTGAAAATAGCATGTCACTGGTTACATTCACGCAAACATACATTCAAATTCAATTACAGTCCCTTAAACTGTTATCAATGTTTGCGCTCTCTCTTACAAGCTTTTCCTTTTTCACAAAAAGTTGAGTTCTTCAATCCCCGAAATTCCATTACGTGCAGTTTTAAAATTTTTTTCGTTTTTGCATGAAAGTTTTAAGGCTAAGAGGACAGACATGTGGCTTTGCTGCTCTGTTGAGATGTATTTGTAAATGTAGAAAATGGCAATTTAGCATGCAAAAATATTGGAAGTTCATAGTATCCACACCAATAAACTTCAAAAATTTAATTTCTAATAAAATTAAACATTTTTCTTGGAAATTATTTGAATTAATTTAAATGTTTTATTTTAGTTTCCTTAATCAAAAAATTAAACACACATAAGTATGAGTAAATGAATTCTCTTAGTTAACACTTGAATGCTTTCCAGCCCACCAACTTAACTTAAACTTAATAAAACAAATAATAATTCTTGTACATTCATCATGTACGAACGCAAAATATTGTACATACATACATACATGTGTATATAGAGAGTAGGTACATACATTTGCATGTACGTATGTACGTCGAGAGTTTACCAAACACACAACTGGAAAATATCCTTTATGCAGACTATCTTTTTAAAGGGCTTTGCTTTCTTTGTATGCAATGTTTGTACAACTCATTCCACAGCTCGAATCACACCAGAATGGATTTCAACTTTTATACGGGACAAATCAACAAAGTAAACATAAGGAAAACAATGCGCTTCTGTTAATCTTTTACTCTTGATCCGAGCACGTGCTGGTGTATTGTGCGGCGCAAATGAACTGATGAGGTTGCTCATACGCTACGTAGGCGCATACGTCTGTGCATATACACTGTGGGAAATGCACAAGTGCGTAAGTGGTTGTGCACTAGAGAACTTAGAACCATTCTAAGTGCGCATTAATTATCTTTAGCATGCTGGCAACTGGTCAATTTAGCATTGCAATGCCCTACGAAGTGTAAATTGCCTCCTGCTGCGTCCCTTTTTCGTTAGTTCCGAACTAGTTCTAAATTCAGCATCACATTTTCTATAACCACTTTGGACTTAGCAAATTGGCATGCCACTGAATAGAAAAAGTCGACTTGGCCAGCTACTTGACAGCAACTTTTCACAATTAGCTAGCGATATTTAGTAGAGATTTGAATATTTTACTTCACATCCAAAACACTCAGCGTTTGCAATTTTGTAAGTTATGAATATACAATTTGTTTTAAATTTTCTAATTTTTTCAATGGAAGAATGCGAATGAATTCAGGCAGCCTAGCGGGCTAGTTTTAAGAAGTGAAATAAAATATTTTTTTTTTAAGTATCATATTTCGACCGTAATTGAATTGATGGGGATCTAGTTGCTATTGGACTGGTTCACTGGTTCGGGGGTTCCCTGCAGGTTACATATACATATATCTACATACATTGATATTAACCAAAAATAAAGCCCGCATAAGGATAATATTTTTGGTCTTACAGTTTTCATTGTGACTTTGGTTGGCATATGTGTGCACATTAGGGTAGGCAAAAAAAAAAATGCATGTAAAAATGTAAGAAGTAAGAGGAAAAAAATGTTTTCCGATCGGAAAATATTGCTTTTCAAGAATTCTATACGAAAAATTGTTTTTTTTTGTACCATATAAATTACATGCAGACCACTAAATATTTTTTGATTTCAAAATAAAAAAGGATTATAATATTTTTTTTTTGGTACAGAACATTTCTGTAAATTCCGGCTTTAATTTTTTTTGGACTACCCTAGGGCACATATATGCAAATGCATATACAGTGACTCACACAAATGACCACGTGTTTTTTTTAATGTTCGTAATTTTTTTCCAGCTAAATTTTTTTTTTGCCTTTTTTATATAAAAATATCGTCTAAGCTTTAACCAAAACCGTCAGTTTCAAACTTTATACAAAATTTAGGAAAATTCAATAAATTTTCATCAAAATTTCAACTTTATATCCTGAATTTTTGGAAAATTTTTAGGTATGCAGTTTTGTAGCCCATATAAGTTTGGTCTAATTAAGTGCAAGTTTCAAATGGCTAAAAAAATCGCGTTGATTTTGAGAATTTATAAATGACCAAAATAACAAAAAAAAATTTAGCTCGAAAAACATTACAAATATTTGAAGAAACTCACCACGTGATCATTTGTTTGAGTCACTGTGTATATATATGAATGCAAGCCGATCGTCTCCCTAAGCGATATGAATAATAAATATTTTACACCATGTTGCGGTAATTTTTTTTAGTAAAAGTACTGACATGCAGTAATTGGACATTTTTTAGTTTCCACCAGCGTGCAAGGATTCTTTGAAAGAGCTTTAATAAAAAAATAAAATTTAATTAACTTTGGTTAATTCGAAGCGTAGAAAAGTGGTTCACAGATTTTATTAAATTGAATTGCGGAGTACCTAGTTTCAAAAACGCTGATAAAATTATCCAATCCTGTTTTTAATCGTTTAAAAAATCGTGCAAAAAAAAAAAGTTATGGAAAAAATCGTGCGCGCTTTCGAATTTTAAAGACTACGGTGAGACTAAATGTGAGTAAGTTTTTGGAATGCCTGGTCTAAGGCACAGTAAAACAAGTTCGTTATATTTTTCAACATAATTTAGTCAAGAACAAGTTTGGAAATATGTACTTTGGAAGAAATCTGAATATTTAGTTTAAATAAATTCAGATTATGTTAAAATACACAAATAAAATTCACTATCACCTGGATCAAGGAATTTTTTAAAGCCAATGTAAATACTCACCTTGTCATAGAATTTACAATTAAAAAAGGAATACAATGGTTAAAACTTATTTATTACCATAATCTAAATTCCGTAAAATTACGTTATGAATTTACTTACATATACATACATACAAGTGTTGGATTTAAAATCACAAAATATTTACAAAGTCATGAATAAATATTTTCCCGAATTGGTTTGTTCATTTTTTTTAGTCGATACGTTTTTCACATATTTCCCTTCATAGCTGTGTGTGCACAAAAAGACAAGTGCTGCACACATACATACATACATGCATACATATACCACTTATATAAGCATTTATTTTTAGTGTTGGAAAGATAAAGATACGAATATTGTATGCCTGAAAAAACAAATATATTTTACAATTAAATTTACAAAGGAATATACGGCAATTTCTTTTAAACTACCACGAAAAATATGCATCTCTCCTTTTTTGCAACTTTTGCAAGTATTTTCCTTTCACAAATATTCGCTTGCGTAAAAGAGTAATTTTCGTATTTGATACAAGTGCGATTGAAACCATTGCCTTCCCATTGCTCTTTCGCTTTCCCCCCTCCTCACATTTTTTCTCTCCATGGCATGCCATGATATACATATGTACATATATGAATGTGTAAAAATTCAGCACAGTGTAGTTCGATTCACTTCTGCGTTACAATTATGGTGGTATGTTCACCGTTATGTGTAAACTTTTGTCATCGGCTGGTTCACTCGACGTGCCTGCTGAAAGAAAATTCACGATAAAATACAGGTAAATGAAAGCTTAAAAATATTTATAAAAGGCGCTTGAGACAACTTATTTTTAAAATTTTCCATATTTACATACTTATATAGTACATATATAGCGCATATAAAAATTGCAACATGAATTCGTTAATCAGATT